CATTATTTTCTCTTTGATAAGCAAGTGACTCCAAAAAAGTCTGACAGTTTTGCTTTGCAAATATCACAGACAGCAGAAAATGTTTCTGACAAATATGAGGTTATTTTGCCGTCTATCATCGTCATGTGCAATTGATGCTTAACTTCAACTTGTTTGATTTTTGATGACTGAAGTCTTTCTATTTCTTCTGTTATGCTAGCTTTTATAATTGCCACTTTTGACTGCGTTTCTTTTATAAATTTAAACATTATTGGACGGCAACAAAAAGTTGATGAGGGTAGGTCGTTTTCCCAAACAATTGTTCCATCAAATTTCTGAAGCCCTATAGGAACTAGACTGGCCAAGAAAATAGATGAATCATCAAAGTATGTTTCAGTCTTTTGTTTATAATTACTTTGACCTGGGGCTCTATCAAAGCCTATTTGCTTATAAGCAGTAGCTCTCTTGCTGAGTCCAAATCCGAAGTAATCACATTTAAAAGCCTATATACCGCCAAGTTTAGTAATGCTTGCATTTTAATAGCAGCTCCTTCTTCATTAATAATTAACTCGTCTTTCCCTGGATAACATTTGGTCTTTTCTTGCTTAATTTTATATTAAGAAGGGTATAAATCGGACCCATTTTCACTTGCTACTTCTCTTAGATTGATATACTGCCACTTACTTAATTTAAGTGAAACTAATAGTGCCTTATCGGGAGAATATGTACTACTTTTCACTTTACTTGTACTTAAACACTCCTTAACTTTTTCTAGATCTTTGGGGTGATTTGACAAATGGTTAATTATTTCTCCTACATCTTCATTTCCAGTGTTTCTCAAACTAGCAACTGTAGTAGCTTTAATTTCATCCGGGGATAACGAAAGCGATTGGTAAATTTGTTCAATGTGCCTGGATCCCAATTCTTCAAAAGGTTTTCGAGGTGTAAAAGGAACTTAAAAGCACTTACGAAAATAAAAATAAAGGTTTTTATTCTATGTATTTATTCTTTTTTTTCGATCCATTTATTTGGCAGAGTTGCAACTTTATGCACATGTTCATAGCATCAAATGATAGTAGACTAGACAAGGTGTAAGAAAAATAAAGTTTCAAAGCGGGACCTCACGGTACTTAGCAGGAATTTAATTTTATGTGACCCGCTCCATACAAAAAAATCACAAAACACATTTTTCTGACCAAACTATAAAATTTTTGGTAATTTTTGCCCAAAACAATTATTATTGAGATTAACGAGCTCTATCTATCTACGTAAAGAAAAATCTTAAAAAACAAAGTTGGTCCCTAAGTCACTAAAATCATAGTATCGACCCACTGTGCGTCGGTCTACCGAGCAATATCACCCGCTCGGTGGAAGATCTTTCCTTTCGTCGTTAAACATCCCCAAATGTTCAATTGTACAAGTTTTTTTTTTCCTTGCCTAGATGGTTGGACGAGCTCACAGTCCAACTGGTCTTAAGTGGTTACTGGAGCCCATAGACATCTACAACGCCTGTAGCAATGATACGTTTCTATCGGGTTTAAGAGAATCCTTGAATTTTTTTGCTTTGATCAGTAAACGATCTCACAGTCGATATGGTATTCAATGGTTACCGGAACTCATAGGCATGAGCAGCGTAAGTGTCGCCACCCATCATGATAAGTTTTTTTTTTATTGCCCTTGTCGGCAGACGAGCATATGGCCCACCTGATGGTGAGTGGTTACCATCGCCCATGGACTGCAGCAATGCCAGGGGCAGAGCCAAGCCGCTACCTACCGGTTAATACTCTCCACAAGCCTCTTTTAAAGAAGGACATGTCATAGCGCTCAGGAAACACCGTGAAGGGGAGCTCATTCCATAGTCGGATGATACGTGGTAAAAAAGACCTCTGGAAACGCACTGTCGATGACCGCAGTGGCTCCAGGTAGTATAGATGAACTCTACTCCGGTGGCGGGCGGTGCGATGGTAAAAACGAGATGCCGGTATCATCTCGAACAATTCCTCAGAGCACTCCCCATGGAATATTCGGTACAAAATACAGAGGGAACCGAAGTCCCTCCGCAGACCCAAAGGCTCCAAACGAAAGTAAGTTTTAAATCTCAGTTTTACAGTACAAAGGCTGCCCCATGCTTCACGCTTCAAAATGACATGCATTACTGCTTCACGGCAAAAATATGCAATATGTCGTTTTGGAGTCGGTTGAATAAGTTATATTTTTAAAAATAGTAAAAAAAATCTGTAAGTTACTTGTTATATATGTTGAAAATAAAATTTATTTTGGTTTTTATTTGTAAAGATATCATTAAAGGATTGCTGTTTTGCGTCTCTATTATATTACTATGATTACGATTAAGAACGAAAAAAACAAATTCACAAATTTGGAAAGACTTTTTATTTTGTATTATTATTTTATATCTCATATATCTGTTCTATACCACATGAGAAATATTGTTCTTTTAAATTATCGGCTGTCAGTAATGCCCATGATTGCTTAAATATCACAAAGAACCCCGTTCTACGATAACTCTACAAACACTAAGATGTAACCTATTGATTACTTCTATTATTTTTATTAGTTTCCATGTCTTTACCGAACTCTGAAGTCCGGACCTGATACGGAAGATATCAGTAGTAACGCAAAGCCGGTATCATTAATACGGGCAGTCTACGCCGCATACTTCACGGCAAGTTAGTTTTCTTTCAGTGTGTGCATATTGCGAGTTTCTTAACTTCACGATCGCGTAAAAGTTAACTCAAATTTGTATAGAGAGTTATTTGTGTGGATCGAGAAATTAAAAAAACTTTTTTTTTTATTGCTTAGATGGGTGGACGAACTCACAGCCCACCTGGTGTTAAGTGGTTACTGGAGCCCATAGACATCCACAACGTAAATGCGCCACCCACCTTGAGATATAAGTTCTAAGGTCTCAGTGTAGTTACAACGGCTGTCCCACCCTTCAAACCGAAACGCATTGCTGCTTCACGACAGAAATAGGCAGGGCGGTGGTACCCCCCCGCGCGGACTCACAAGAGGTCCTACCACCAAAAAACTCGCACTAAACACACAGAGCTAACGCAGTGAACGTGCTAAATAACACCGAAACCCTTTTGTTTACGAGTTGTACCTCTTAAATTTACGGGGCTCGGTTACGTAAGCGCTATTTTACGAGAGCTATTTGTTCTTGACACAGAGAACGAGTATAAAACGTTGGTATGAAAATTTCATCCGCGCAATCTCGTAAAAGCGTACTCTTGAGGTCTTAAGACGCGAAGCGTGATCGTATTGAAGACGAAAAACCCTTGAAGTCGGTCTTCATTGTAACAAGATATTAAATTACTTTTGAAACAATTTTTATTAAGCAAAAATTTTAGGCGACACATGAAATGTACGATTTTTTGGCTACAGAAATGCGAATAGCGTCACGGTTCACTATTCCTAATATAATTCGAAAATCGATCAATTTTAAACGATAAATTGTCTCAGCATACAAAAATATCAATAATTCATCAGTATTCTAAACGAAGCCGGTGATTAATAAAGCCAAGTTACGCCCATTAATTCATTCGGTTGTTTTTTCTTAGAACACTTAGTATACGACAGGCTGTATGACTAATTGAGGAGCTTCCATTTTCCGTTACAAATTTTGCGAAGGCGGTTCTTTGTGAATTTCTGATGAGGTTTTTTTGACAGATTCCTTTGATACATCGTATATTAATTAGGTTTTCTGGGTAGCAAAAGAAAGTGTGTATCTTAAGATATTTTTAGAATGTTAATTGTGATACGCGCAATGTATCAACATAAAAAAACAAAGTCAACGATCTCAAGTGATGCGGCATTCTTTACTTTACTTTTCATTGCGGCTTCATAATTAACTTGAACAGTATGCACAATTTGTATTTTGGTGTTAGTAAAATATATTTAGTCGGCACGGGTAGGTACCACCATCTTGCCTATTTCTGTCGTGAAGCAGTAATGCGTTTCGGCTTGAAGGGTAGGGCAGCCGTTTTAACTATACTGAGTGAGGATTTAGGGGTGGCGGTATTTATGTTGTAGATCTGTTGTAGAACTATGTTGTAGGTCTAAGCAATAAATAAACTATAAAATTCTTGGCACAATCTTAGAAGAATTTTGCTGACACGAGTAACACCATATGTGGTTAGATAGCAAAAAACGGATGTTGGAACGCCTACAAGATTCTCGAATGTTTCAATTCTATCGTGTTCGAATGCCCTACTTCAATTGCGAATATTCTGGAACATTGTAGTCGAAACAACTATAAAAGCGTGACATAAACGATATGAAGACTGTATTTCAGTGTATTTATTATCTATGGACTGTATATAATAGTTTTATTCGAAACAAAATCGAGCGGTACCCTAACCGGGAAAAAACGTGCATAACGTAAGCTTTTTATTATTTATGTATAGTCTTAGTATAATGGAGTGTCTAATGTACAGTCTACATGATGACGGTTATTATTATTATTCATATAAATAGCTGTTTCTTTGTAAATTATATATTTTTTATAAATCATTGTGAGTAAAATAAAGTTGATCACTTTGTAAGGTAGTATTTTTTTTATCAATAAAAAAATCGTAATAAAAAATGTATACCCGAATAATTATTTTCTTTACACCTCGAATAGAACTTAAAATTAATATTTTTATAATAAGGAACTGCGTTTCTATCCGGTGTCCCACGACACCACACTCTCTCTCTCTCTCTCTCTTCGAACGGTCCCTCACTGCTGAGGATCGTGACTCCGTCCGAGTCCGTCAACCAGCTGTCTCCATCGATCCCGTTTTGTAGCTCGGTGGAGTGCGTCGCTGACAGGTATCCCCAGTTCCTCCGCTATTTGGTCTGACCATCGTTTGAGACCTCTACCCCTAGGCCTTTTCCCTTCTATTTTACCGGTCACCACAAGGCGTTCCAAATTAATCCTAAGTCCCAGCTCGTAATAGGTGGTATGGTACAATCGAAAACACATTGAGTGAATTAATGAGATGGACAAGTACAAATACCTGGTGAGCAGCAGGGTCGCGAGTAGGTAGAAACCTGACGGGTGTACGCCGCACTCGCAGTCAGCCGGTGGCGTGACGGTCTGACCGTCCATGCCGGCGAGCTTGTGGTAGGCGATGTACGCGCGCGCTGGACTACCGTGGGGAGCAATTTTCGAGGCTTAATCGAGGGCCACTCAACGCTGAAACTGCTCATCTGGTCGCCGAGGAGAATTTACTCCTCACCTGAGGACAATAAGCCGAGCTTTTTACTGGTGGTAGGACCTCTTGTGGGTCCGCACGGGTAGGTCGTGCGTCGTAGTCGTAGTCGTGCGTAGGTTTGTCGTCGTCGTGGCCTAAAGAATAAGACGTCCGGTGCATTCGTGTTGAGCGATGCACCGGTGTTCGAATCTCAGGCGAGTACCAATTTTTCTAATGAAATACGTACTCAACAAATGTTCACGATTGACTTCCACGGTGAAGGAATAACATTGTGTAATAAAAATGAAACCCGCAAAATTATAATTTGCGTAATTACTGGTGGTAGGACCTCTTGTGAGTCCGCGCGGGTAGGTACCACCGCCCTGTCTATTTCTGCCGTGAAGCAGTAATGCGTTTTGGTTTGAAGAGTGGGGCAGCCGTTGTAACTATACTGAGACCTTAGATCTCATATCTCAAGGTGGGTGGCGATATTTAGGATGTAGATGTCTATGGGCTTCGGTAACTACTTAACACCAGGTGCGTCACGAGCTCGTCCACACACCTAAGCAATAAATAAAAAGCTAAATTTTATGAAGTTCTCGCGAGATGTAAACTTTAGAATCTGTAGAATTTCGCTTTGAAATATTCACCTATAATCCCTTAAGAAACCGCTTACACAGTGTCGAAAAAAATCTGAACTATAAGTGTAGTTTTATTTGAATAAATGAGTTAAAAAAGTCGGGTTTTCGACGTAATGCTATGATAGCCTGCTTACTGAAAATCGGTCAGGCTTGGAACGTGAAAATATATTCTTTGGCTTTAAATAAATTACTAGCATTATCAAATATTCATTTCGAACTACTATTATCTAAAAATGAATAAAGGCAGGAGATGGGCCGAATGCTCATCTGCTTACAAGGGCAATAAAAAAGCGCTTGTAGAGAAAAATCTGAAGTAACACAGTTTGAACACCAGTGGAAGTTTTAAGTTTGGAGTGCTTGAAGTATGAAAACAGAAGTTTGTGCATCTAGCAATTTATGGACGTTATGACGATGTGAATAGTTGGAAAATATTAATAAAGTTTACTTTATACTTTGGTATTGTAGATATATTTAGACTGATCTTTATTAGTCCACGAATTACAAGTAGTTCGCAATTGAATTATTAAGTGATTATTAAACAACAATAAGCGTATTGGCAAGACGTTTGAGTTTTATTTGTTTATTAATTAGCTTCTTCGAGGAAGCGGCGTGGCACGATAGCTTCCTTGCCCTTTTAGGTACCCCAAGCACTGGAGTTTGACTGCATAGCCCATATACACAATGGACTTAGTTCTCGTCGGGTCTTTTCAGTGGGTCGCGATTTCGAACCGGTGGTAGATTTGGCGAAGCAACTACTCTTGCTAGGGCTGCCACGTGCGAGCATGTCCGGGTGTCATTATTCTGCCTATTTCTGCCACGAAGCACACACGTTTTCCCATTTAAGAATTGGAACAAAACAATTGCATTGCTACAATTGAAATTTCGACCATAAGTTTAGTGACACAAGAGGTTTGCTTCGTGTTCCAAGGTGATAAGCGTCTAATACTAAGCGAGTCATGAGCTCTTCCAACCATCTAGTGCGATCAATTAATAAAACTACTAATTGGAAAAAAATAAACGTCCCTATTAGGTACCTATATGGTAAAAGTAAAAAGTGATGGATCGTTGTGAAAATTGTAATTTCTCGTCGCTCCGATATTTCCTACATCAGAGCGAAATTGTTTTTTGTCGAGTCTAGCTTTCGTGATTGATGAAAGCTTTCGCGTTAAACTCATTTTTAAAGATTGCCGAATGCTAACGAGACTTTTCACGTTTGTGTTTTTTTTTTCTGTACTTTTGATGATTGATGAGAAAATCTTTTTATTGTAAAAATTATGCCATTATTCGATGTTAATTTTGTTTATTTGATATAAATAAATATTAATTACCGCTCACTTTGACAAAGGGCTGAAGAGGTTGCGGCCAACTTGGTATTAAGTGGTTACGAAAGCCCATATAACGAATAACGGAAACGCTGCCCATTTATTTATCTTGAGAAAAGAGGCGGAAGTCGTAATTATATTGTACAATGATTGTGCCATCCTTCAAACTGGATCGTAAGACTGCTCTGCGGCAGAAATAGACAGGACACTTGTGTATTCGTACGGGCTGGCAATACCTGTAAGAATTTCAAATTTCGAACCAATGGCATTTTTTAAATAATTATTTACATTAATGTTTTTCTGTGTAAGAAGTTGGTTGGTATCTACAAATACTTAGTTTGTAATATAAAATGCTGTTTAAAAAAAACATAATTGTAATTAAAAAGGTTTATTATGCGTTTATGTAATTTAAACTACTTTTACGGTTAAATCTTGCGTTTACTATTTTGATTTTTTATTTACCGCGATTTCCGAAAAATAATAACATGTAACATCCATTTATTGATATTACGGAGGTACTAATTAACTTGCTTATATCTCAAAAAAAATTGTTAAAAATCTGGGTCACAGATACCTAACAGTAGCCAAAAAACAAAGAACCAATAATAAAAAAGTCAAACAATAAAAGTTAGATTATTCTAATCGATTCACTCTACGATTAGCGTGAATCACAAGCATTAATTTTAACAAAATCATACTCACGATTGTTTCACTGTTTTTCTTTTGGTCTTAATTCACATTTTTGTTTTTTCTTTGAATCAAACAAATAGCGTTAATTTTTTATTGAGGATTCGCGTGTGACTAATGTCGAACAATGAAGGGTTTCGTTTGATTAAGGTTGCTTAAAGTGATGTCCGCTGCGCGCGCTCTCCGCAGCCAAACTGAACCCCAGCGAAAGTGGCAAAACGAAGCGGCTTGAACAGTGTTGAACATTTGGGGGTTATGTCGATAGTCTAGAATGTCTTTTCGGTTGAAAGTGCTATGTTTCCTTTATTTGCTAATGAAATACTGAAACGAATTAAACGCTTTTTGCTGAGAGAACCATTTTTTGTTGTAAATAATCAAATAAAGTAAGTTATTATACAAAAAAATTGAACAAACAAAATCCATTGAAAATTGACATACTAGAGTTTTGTTTTGTTGTTTGAGTCAGTTTGTAAAAAAATGATGAATTAATTGAACAGATATTTGAAAGAAAAGCCTGAACAATAGATTGTTAATATTGGTTATTCATTCCGATTTGAGCAACCGACGCGCGTGGACGTGCTCATTGTTCGTTCGATTGCCCGACCTCGGTTCGTGGCACATCTGGCGTCCAAGTGTTTTGTCGGAAGTGACTACCGGTGATAATAGATCATTGTTCGTGGCACATCTGTGGCCCAAGTGTTTCTCGGAATTTGTACCTGCGCCTAATTACAAGGCATTGCCGCCCGGAAACTGTGCAGTGGTTCTATTCACTCTAATTCTATTCTATTTATTCTATTCAATTTTTTTTTTTTTTTTTTTTTTT